TCTACATTGAAAATCTAAAACGACAACTATTATGTGACAAAATTTAAGTGCTAAAACGACAACTAAATTAAAACGGAGGGAGTATTAAAAGACACAATTTCGTGTTATTAGAGACTAAAGACTCTCACGAGTTTCTAATTTGGGAAAAAGCATAATATTTTTTGATTTTGCTTATTTTGACAACTTTATAAATTACATAAAAGTAGAAAATCTCGTGGTCCATCTAAAAATGTCGTGATAAGCATGGGAACCACCCAAATTAGGGTACAAATTGTGACTCGTACCTACTTTTTCTCCATATTCAATCCCTTTCATAATTTTCTGTAACTCACTTTCGAAATTTCATAGTTGCGTTTATATAATAAGAGTTATAGACTATGGTATCGAAATACTAACTACGAAATATCCAAATCAGGAAATATGATGTTGATCATTTCGTATTTTATATATGCAGTTGATACCTTAGGTTTTATATACTTTGTACAATTTTTCTCAACTTTGTCAAAAGAAAAAAGTTATATATCAACTAGCTTAACTAGTTAGAGAAAATACGTCACACTAGTTTAAACAGAAATCCATAAGAATTCAAGGTGTGTTGACACGCATTTTTGTAATAACTTTTAGTAGTATATACTCTTTCCGTTCCGTTTTAATTATCGTTTAAGATTTTCTTACACAAATTAAGAAAACTATTAATTTTATGTTTTACCCTTTATTAATACTCCTTCCGTTTCATAATATAAGGCGTTTTGGTAAAGTATTTTGTTTCACAATATAAGTCGTTTTCGAGTTTCAATGCAAATTATATATTATTTTAATATTTTATGATTATTTATATTATGCAGTCTCTTTTATGATTGGGTGAACTTTTAAAAAGTAGATCTTCTTAATCTGCGTGTTTTTACCTAAAAACGACTTATATTTTGAAACGAAGGGAGTATATTTTATAAAAAAATTCATTGGCCGAAACCTTAAAACAGTAGGAATAAAGCTATAATTTTCACCAAACATTTGCATTGAAAACGACAAGTATAAATCAAAATTTAAATCCTAAAATGATAATTAAACTAAAAAAGGGAGTATATACATAAGAGTAGTTCAAATTTAATTATGTTTCATGAGTATTTATTGCGAAGTCGTAGATATCAGGATTGCAATTGCTAATCTATTGATGTTAAGTCAAATCTAGGCTTATTCCCAAGAAACTGTGTCTGCGCTTTAGTGGATTTTTATAGTTTGATTTTATCACGTTATTGATAAACTGACAGGGAATTATGGTAGACCGTGAGAATTAAAGCAAAAAGTCTCAGCTTTTTCGTTTTTATGAGAAAAAAAAAAAACCTTAATAAAACTTTTCAATTAATAAGAGAAAATGATTTGTTACCGTTTGAACAAAATGGGCCTATGAGTTAAGGCCCTATCTGTTAGAGCATATTAGCCCTACTCAATGTAATGGACCTAGCCCATGAAAAGTATTTTAACTGTTTAGAACCCATTCGTTAAATCTTGTTATCTCCTTGAATGTTCAGATTGTTGTTGGACCTAGCCCATAATAGTTTTGACAGTTTTGAATGAAAAAAATGTTCCCAAATCTTGTGGGTTTGTTGTATTTACATTATTAACCTTTTGTGTGGTTGATATTTTCTGGTTGCTGCTTTATGTATGAGTTCGTTATTCATATCTTTCAGTAACAAGATTCTTCTGACAAAACTCTAAAATTCTTCCAATGTCTGTACGCGTGTGACTAAACGCGCCTAGAACTCGAGCGTAGAACACAGAGAGTCAAAGTGATAGGATTGTTGTACTGAGCGAAAAGAAAAAGATTTTATTTATAGAGTGCGTATCAACGAGAGAGTACAACAACATCTTTCAGCTTTATTTAGACCGTCCGATCATACTTCACTGTTGTACTAATCAGCTATTGAGTAAACGACACGTGTGTGTTATACTCTTCTTGGGAACACTCGATGTCACACCAGATCCTAGCTCCTTGTCAATCTCTCTCGTGAGTTTCCCACCGTCAGATCATGCTTAGGTTTGTGACGTAAGATTAATATTTGTTGCGCATCTCTAGGCTCTCTCTATCCACTTGCTTATCCAACCGTCCGATCTTTGAAATTTTATTTTTTTGAGGTGGAATATATATACAATTGTGTTGAGTTATTATTATTATGCTTGGAGAAATACAATGCGAGTTTTAAAAAAATATAATATCAGTTCATCCTAAATGGATGGTGTTGATAAATTAATGTAATAACGCACATCAGACGCCATGATTGCGTACTACTAGACTTGACGAGTGTTTTTAGTAAATCTTTAACAAAACAGTTGAAATCTGTTCTTCCATATGTAAAAAGCCTTAGAATTTGATTTATTTTACTTTTGATAACCAGCTTTTTAACGTTAAATGATTGTAGCTTATAGTTAGGTACCAAGTGGGGGAGTTGTCTCGGGGATCTCATTTGACGTGTGATGTTGAATTTATGATAGAGATCCTAATGATCTCGTGGTCCCTCTCGCAGGGTTTATATAACCATCCAATATATAACTTCATGTTTCTGAATAGTGAGAATCCAAAACTTAAAAAGAAATACATTAGGTATTACCGTATTAGCATTCGTAGGTATATGTTATGTATAATGCGCAAATGCAGATTATGTAGCAAGAAGAGAACATAAACGTTTTTAGAGTTTATCCTTATTCCTTATGTTGCATAAACTTTTAGGGTCGAGATATGTGTAACACATGCATATTATTATTACTTCTTCAAATATCTCTGCGGAGTTTCGTTTTAGTTGTCGTTTAAGGTTTTTGCACACAAATTAAGAAAAGTATTAAATTTTCTGTTTTACCCTTTATTAATATATTTTATAAAAAATTTCATTGGCCAAAACATTAAAACAGTATGGATAAAACTGGAATTTTCACCAAACATTTGCATTGAAAACCTAAAACGACAACTAAATTGAAACGGAGAAAATAATTTTTTTAATAGACGCGAGTTTGAATTATGTTATCCTTGTTATAACATATGTATTACGAAACGTTGGTATGTTGCAGATTGATAAATCGTGGTATAAGAGTAAATATGATATTACTAGTGAGTTTTTATATAAAGAAAAATAGGGAAACGATGATAAAAGGTGAAAAGGAAGTTTAGGATCATCTTTGTTTTTTTTATTTTGTTTTCTGACTTTCAAATCAGACAAGACAACGAGGTATGGGTCTTTTAACAAACAGAGACTCAACTTGAAAATCTCATCAAAGCACCAATAAAAAAAAACCCAAGAGAAAACATTCAACTATCTTGTTAGAATCTAGACAAAATAAAAAGTGTATCATGCTGATTTTGAACAAATTATTAAAAATCTCAACCATCGTTTCATTAATATCTTTGACGATTCTAGAAGCCCTAAATCTTGTCTTTTTATGAATCCATTTCATATATATATATATATATATATTTTTTTTTTTTTTGGCAAACTCACCATTTCATTTTTTGTTGTTGCATTTTTATTGTATATGTTCTCATTTACAATTTCCTTTGTAAGCATTTGGACTCTACCATGTCACTTTCTGATTACTTCTGATATTTATTAACACAGTTATTTTGTAGTTACCAGATAAACGAACTTAATAAAATAATTGAACCAAAAGCAGATGCTGAACAAATTGCTGCAGGCTTTTAGTAATTGTCTCCCATTTGCTTTTCCTTTGTTTCACAAATTGTATATTCGAGGTTAAGTGAATGTTGCAATGAAATAAATGATGCAGTTTGTGCATTCATCAAGAGAACAAGTACGATTGATGTTTTCAGTGCAAACAAAAAAAATACTAACAACTATACAGTGTAAATAGATAACTTCAAATAGGTTTTTATAAGTTTCTATAGGCTACGAACAATCAAAATATATTTACAAATTTACGACCAATATTTTTACTATTTTTAAATATTGCATTAAGGAATTGGTGCTGTCTGCACAGTTGAGAACGCAATTGGAGACTTTGGTGCATTCACTTTGTTTGCCGCTAATCGAATATGGTGATCGTGGTCATCATTTATACAATTATTCTATTAGTTATTATGATTAAATCCTTTTTTTTGGGTGTCAATGTTAAATTATAAAATTCATATTATTTCGGTCTATATTTATACCACCTACTACTATAAATACTAGATTTAAAGCCGGGTCATATAATTAAACTCTTCTATATATAATGAAAACCAGTATAACAAAAATTTGATAGTTTTTTTTTAATAACTAAAAATTTGATAGTTGATTTTAGTAGATGTTATGTTATAGTAGGTGTTATGTTCCAATTTAAAGTGTAGGTACGAGTTGTATAGTTGAAAAAAAGACACAGTAAATTCGATAAAATTAAAAACACGAAAACTGATTTAAAAGTCAGTTTTCGTGTTTTAATTTAGTCAATAAGATAAATCAGCAAACAAGCAACTTATCACGCCACGGGTTATAAAATTACTATTTAGTAATTCATTATAACAACAAGTACGAAATGTGGAAATAATTTTGTCAAACATCCAAGTCGTATAACTTTCGTTTTCTATAGATTAATGGAATTCTTCAAAAACCTCTCGATCAAATTAAACTCCGCATTCATTTTTTCCAAACTATATGAATAGTAACTTTATCGGTTTCATCCGTATCACGAAAAATAAACTGTACATATGAAGTCTTAAACAAATTTCTATTTTAAATAATATATTATGAGAAAACAAATAAAGGTTGTATTATTGGTTACCCCAAAAAAACAAAAAAAACTACGAGTACTAGTTTAGTGTGTCTCACGTGCGACGAGGAAAAGTTTTGGGAGAGTAGAAAAAAATTTTTACTACTAGTTTGAAAAACCGTGAGCTGACACAAGCTCATTGCTTTGGCTACAGTAACAGCTACCGTCACTTTTAACAAAATGACAGACCAATCATTTTAACCTCTGTTTCCTAGCTGGCGCGTGACAGCCACTCTCTCTTTTTCTTCTCTCTCCATGCCCATAAAATCTCAAAAACTCTGTTTTTTTTTTTTTAATGTTTTAGCTTTAACTGCTTTTTTTTTGTTGTTGTTGCTCTAATGATATCACAGAGAGAAGAAAGAGAAGAGAAGAAGCAGAGAGTGATGGGAGATAAGAAATTGATTTCTTCTTCTTCTTCCTCGGTTTACGATACTACTCGTATCAATCATCATCATCATCCTCCGTCTTCTTCCGACGAAATCTCTCAGTTTCTCCGGCATATTTTCGACCGTTCTTCTCCTTTACCTTCTTACTATTCTCCGGCGACGACGACGACACCGACTTCTATGATTGGTGTGCAAGTTCACGGTGACCCACATGCAGATAACTCGAGAAGTCTCGTTTCTCATCATCCACCGTCGGATTCTGTGCTCATGTCGAAACGTGTCGGAGATTTCTCTGAGGTTTTAATCGGCGGAGGCGCGTGTTTTGGTTTCTCCGGTGGTGGTAATAATAATAACGCTCAGGGAAATAGCTCTGGGACTCGAGTATCGTCTTCTTCTGTTGGAGCTAGTGGAAACGAGACCGATGAGTATGACTGCGAAAGCGAGGTTCTTTGAAATTTTCTCAATCTCTCTCTCTTTCTCTCTGCATGTTTTAAAAGTTCAATCTTTGTCTCTTTCCCGAGAAAATGTTTCTACAGAGATTTCTCTTTAACGGATCTGTACTTTTTTTTTTTTTTCCCCCTTAAAATCAGCAAATTTTTGTTTATGTGATTTTGAGTGAATGAAAAAACAGGAAGGAGGAGAAGCTGTAGTTGATGAAGCTCCCTCTTCCAAGTCAGGTCCTTCTTCTCGTAGTTCATCTAAGAGATGCAGAGCTGCTGAAGTTCATAATCTCTCTGAGAAGGTTTGGTTTTTGTAGCCTCTTTCTCCCAGTATTAGAATTTTATTCTTACTTGAGATTTATTGTAACAGAGGAGGAGAAGTAGAATCAATGAAAAAATGAAAGCTTTGCAAAGTCTCATCCCTAATTCAAATAAGGTAATGATACTTCTATAAACATAGTCACATTCACATGAATCATTCTCTTTTTTTTTTGTGTCTTGATTGTTGCAATGTGTTTATTGGGGAAGACGGATAAGGCTTCAATGCTTGATGAAGCCATTGAATATCTGAAACAGCTTCAGCTCCAAGTTCAGGTCACTAACGATTCCTTAAGTTAGTTTATTATTATAACCAAAACCCCAAAACAAGTGTATATGACATTAGTCTTTTTTTTTGTCTGATCTTTTTTGCAGATGTTGACAATGAGAAATGGGATAAACTTACATCATCCTTTGTGCTTACCTGGAACTACATTACATCCATTGCAACTCTCTCAGATTCGACCCCCAGAAGCAACCAATGATCCTTTGCTCAATCATACCAATCAGTTTGCTTCGACTTCTAATGCACCGGAAATGATTAATACTGTGGCTTCTTCATACGCATTGGAACCTTCCATTCGCAGTCACTTTGGACCTTTCCCTCCTCTCCTTAATTCACCCGCGGTGCGTAGTTACATAACACATTTTTGTTATATAAACCCTAAAAGCTAGTCTGCTTACTATAAATTTTTGTTACTTAAGGAGATGAGTCGGGAAGGAGGGTTAACTCATCAAAGGTTGAACATTGGTCATTCCAACGCAAACTTAACCGGTAAAGTATTCTTTTTTGAATCCTGAAAAAGTTTTAGGACATTTACAATGTTGAAATATGTTGCGGTATTTGGGGATTTGCAGGGGAACAAGCTCTGTTTGATGGACAACCTGACCTAAAAGATCGAATTACTTGAACAGAGGCTCAACTTTGACCTCTATGTGTTCTTGTTTCTTAGGGCGCAAGCAATAAAGCTGCCTGACAATGGAGATGCATTTAGCGGTGTTTACTTTTTCTAAGGTTCTATTTATTTATCAATTGTTGTTGACACGAACACTAGACTCTAAATCTTTGAATCTAATAGCTATACTAAAACCTTTTATTACAAAGTAACTTGTTAGGTTTATGTATGTTTATGGTGCATGTAAAGTTTTTAGATCATCTTCGCATTGTATTGAGAGTTTGAGACTCGATGACTTGGATATGTAAATTACAGATAAGCTTCTAGAGAAGTTTTCGACTCTACATGATGGACTTGGTTTCTTAAGTTTGACCATGCTTTTTTGGTATCTCTTTTTTAAGACACTAGTTGTGAAAGTTAAATTGATCATTTACAAGAAGAAGATAAAACCCTTCACATTTTGAGTTCTTAGGTTTATGAAAAGCTTGTGGTGTGTGCAATTTTTTTTGTGATCATGATAGCTGCATGATGAGCAATTTATCATTTAATCCAGTTAATCTTGTTATATCAAACTTTGAAAATGGTTTTTTTTCCCCAAGCCGTGTATTACATTTGAGCGATTGAATGAAAAAAAAAAAATGATGATTTCTTCCCCAAATCCCCCCATAATTTCTAATCAAGTTTTTGAATTTCACTCTAGTGCATACAAATCTTATACTTTCTTTTACAATTACATTGGAATATTAACAATTTCACTCGTAAGTTTCTTTTAAAAGTTTGAAATGTTGTTTTAAGATCTTTCATGCTTATTAAAAATACTTATATTTCTATTAACCCATAATTAGTAAACTTTAATTCTCCAATTAGTAACCTAATACTAAAGGGATATATTTTGAAAAAATGTTCAATATGTTTTTTTTTTAATAAGAAAAAAGGAAAGTAATTGGGATTCTCTTTCAGTGAAAATATCAGAGAAAATATGCCTTGAAGACGACGACTGGAGTTGAAACTTGAAAAATATTTAGATACTTATTTTTCTTTTATAAAGCTGGTCATTCTTTTTGCATAGATTCAGTGACCAAATCTCTCCTAAATAAACAAACAAAGACTCATAAATAACTTCACCGGAGACGCCGCAACAAAAACAGGGTTTTAATGGAGAAGAAAGAGAACGGTCTCGATGTGAAGCAATCGGGTCGGGTCATTAACGGACCCACTAACCCAATGGTCACACCTCTCCTCAACGATCTTTACCAATTCACCATGGCCTATGCTTATTGGAAAGCTGGCAAACAATCCGAACGATCTGTGTTAGTCTTCAAATTCACACAAAGTTCGATCCTTTGAAATCTACAAAACGTAAAAATCTCATCTTTGTTTTCAGGTTTGATTTGTATTTTCGTAAGAACCCATTTGGTGGAGAATACACTATCTTTGCTGGTTTAGAAGAATGCATCAAATTCCTCGCTAATTTCAATTTGACTGATGAAGAGATCGATTTTGTTCGTGATTCGTTACCTGGATGTGAGGTATAACATCATCTCTCTTGGCCAAAAGATTCAATTTTTAGCATCCTTTTTTACTCACTCTTTTGGAATTGTGAAATATCAGGAAGCTTTTTGTGATTATCTTCGAGGACTTGATTGTTCTGACATTGAAGTGTATGCAATTTCGGAAGGATCTGTTGTGTTCCCTAAAGTTCCTTTACTCAGAATTGAAGGTCCTGTTGCTGTGAGTTTCTGATCATTATCTCTTCTAACTCTCATCATTGTAATGATCAGTTTCTGATCTCTCTTGTGCTTCTTTCTTAGGTTGTGCAATTGTTGGAAACTCCGTTTCTCAATCTCATCAATTACGCTTCTTTGGTTGCTACTAATGCAGCAAGACATCGGTTTGTTGCCGGAAAATCTAAGCTTCTGCTTGAGTTTGGTGCGAGAAGAGCTCAGGTTTTCCCCTCAAAACATGTTTAGACTTAGATGTTGAGGGTTTGTTTGTTACATCTCTGATATGTATTGTTATAGGGACCTGATGGCGCAATAAGCGCATCAAAATATTGCTACCTTGGAGGTTTTGATGCAACAAGGCATGTCTTTACTATTGATTTTGTTTTTTTATGGAAACATTGAAAGGGAAGAGAGGATATGATTTTCTCTATTTTTCTTGCCTCGTTTATTACCGCAGCAATGTTGCAGCGGGAAGACTGTTTGGGATACCTCTCCGTGGTACTCATTCCCATGCTTTTGTTAGCTCATTCATGGTAAGTTTGCTTTAGCAAAATTTGTGAAAAAAACTCAGTTCTAGTATGTAGTTACAGTAACATAAATGATTGATAATCGGATGTTGTTTGCGATATTTTGTATTACCGTAATATTGGAAGCAGTAGTGAAAAGATTTATACTTTTCTTTGGTTCTTTTGTAGAGCCTTGATGAAATTGTTGACAAAGTGCTTCGAAGTTCTGATGGGAAAAGCACTTGTGAGGATTTTATTTGTTTGGTCCAAACATGCCTAACTAGGATTCAGGTTTCTTAAGTCAAATCTAGATTTTTTCTCAGTGTAGTATTGTTCTGTTTTTGATTCCTCTCTTCATAATCTTTCTTGTGATTGGTGGACGACAGAATTCATCTTCATTACAAGGGATTTTTTCCGAGACAAATCAAAGCGAGCTTGCAGCATTCATTTCATATGCACTGGCATTCCCGAACTCCTTTCTCGCTCTTGTGGACACTTACGATGTGAGTAATAACACTTTGTTCATCTCATCTTAGATTAAGATTTCTTTATGGGTGTTGTCGGAGTTACAAAGAACTAGTGTTTCTAACCGTCTTACAGGTGATGAAGAGTGGAATTCCAAACTTTTGTGCTGTTGCTGTAGCACTTAATGAATTGGGGTGTGTAAAAAATCTTCCATTAGTGCTCCATATATAATTCGCCATTGCAATTTTTTGAAGATTCGTGACTTTGTGCTGTTATGCAGATACAAAGCAGTAGGTATTAGACTGGATTCAGGTGACTTAGCCTATCTATCGGCTGAGGTCAGGAAATTCTTTTGTGCCATAGAGAGAGACCTCAAAGTTCCCGATTTCGGGAAGATGATCATCACTGCTAGTAACGATCTAAACGAAGAGACAGTCGATGCTCTAAATAAACAGGTAAATCTCTGCTTAACCTTAAGAAATTCTTACCTTTAGGCCTATGTAACAAAAGCTTTTTTTTTTTTTTTTCATCCCGAAAAGGGTCATGAAGTAGATGCATTTGGAATTGGAACCAACTTAGTAACTTGCTATGCACAAGCTGCATTAGGTTGTGTTTTCAAACTGGTGGAAATAAACAATCAGCCTCGGATCAAACTTTCTGAAGATGTAACTAAGGTTTGAATCCTGGACTCAATTCCCCAATAAGAATGTTTCTTCAAACTTTCTGTGTTCTTCTTTGCATACACTTGATCGCTTTTCTCTTTTTGCGTCTTCAGGTATCGATACCATGTAAAAAGCGTACTTACAGATTATTCGGAAAAGAGGGTTACCCTCTTGTTGATATAATGACTGGAGAGAACGAACCACCTCCAAAGGTAAAAACAAAGGCATTTGCTTTCTTGAAAGATTTAAAGCTTTTTATTACCTTTTAATTTTATTTTATTGGATCCTAAGGTCGGTGAAAGGTTACTTTGCCGTCATCCATTCAATGAATCGAAAAGGGCTTATGTGGTGCCACAACGCGTTGAAGAGCTTCTGAAATGTTATTGGCGTGGCAATGCAGGTTAAAACAGAGCTCTCAATTCTTAAAGGATACTGACAAATGCTTATGAATCATTATGTTTTCCTTTTTTACTCTCATGAAGATGAAGCTAGGGAAGAGCTAGAGCCATTGAAAGAGCTAAGAAACCGTTGCATCAAACAGCTCGAAAACATGCGACCCGATCATATGAGAAGATTAAACCCTACTCCTTATAAGGTATAATAATCCAACAAAACACCTGAGAAAACCTTTTTTGTATCAAGAGCTTTCGCTTTCTGAAGGAAACCCTAATTGTTAACTTACACTTGCAGGTTAGTGTCAGCGCCAAGTTGTATGACTTCATCCACTTCCTCTGGCTCAACGAAGCTCCTGTCGGTGAACTGCATTGAGAATTTACAAATATTGGTTGTCTGATTCGGTGTGTGTGTGTGTGTAACCATAGTATCAGCTTTGCCACTGATCTCACTGTTTTCACAACATCATCATCTCAAAAAAAAAATTACTCACCAATAAATGTTTTGGTCATTTGGTGGAAACGTATAAAGGGGAAATCAAATCATTTGTATCAGATCAAACCAAACTGAGCTCACTGAGGAACTATCACCACAGCAAGAGAGTTGCCGCAGAGATCAGAACGAGAGATGACAATCCGATAGCTGTAGAATCAGCATTACCCGCAGGAAGATTTTTTGAATTCCGTGAAGAATCTGTCCCTCCGGCGACTGGTGATGGAGCTGACTTCGGAGGAGGAGCGTCACATGTGCCAAAAGGTGCGTTTGACTGCATATATATGCAAAGAAACACATTTATCATTGGCTTAATATTATGATTTGTATTTCTCAATCTTAAGTGAGTTTCAAGAAATTAAGAACCCAATCTTGTTCAATGTAAAATACCTTGCAAAAGACTAAGCTGTCACAACCACAAGTGAGACGACCGTTTGCTTCATCTACAGCTTCTGCAGCTCCTCCACTGTCACTCCTCTGCAATTAAACATCAACAGCACAAGGGTTTAATAATTCGACTTCCTTAAAGGAACAAACTTTCAGCAGATTAGCTCTATAAAATGTTGGATTTGGCAAAGGAGCAAACCTGGTAAAAATCAACAGCGATGAAGTTAGGCCATCTTTTACCCGCTGCTTCATGGCAAGTTCTCATCATTTCGATCAACGGAGAGGAATTATCCGCACACGCTTGCGTTGAATTCGGATTGGTTTCAAAATAGTTCTGAAAAACCAAAGACCGAGACTTGGTATCCAATGGAGAAGATTCAGATCGACTCGAGCATGATCCATCCTTCAATCCATCATTGCCAACTACATAACAACCCAAATTACCATCATCTTGTTAACAAGCTGGTCCTTAAATCGAGATTCATGTTTGAGTACAGTTCATAAAAACGCACACTGATTTTCAACCATGTAATTCCACTGGTAAGCAAAACCTTCAGAAGCCTCTTTATCCTTGTTGGAAGTAAAAACAACAAGCCTTTGGTTCTGCTTCACCATATCATCAACCGTTGGCCAGTCTGTACCGTCTTTCGGCATTCTCGAAATTGGTAACTGGAACTTACTCAATCCAGATGCATTGAACACCTTAGTCAATCCC